CCCCACCCACCCCCGCAGCGGGGTGCATGAGGTTAAACGACACCACCTTTGCTAAGATAAGACCTGCCGCGCTTCGGATGCCCTCCCCCCACATAAATACGCAGGGCGCTCTCCGGACTCTAGGTGATACAAAGAGACACCGGGCTCAGATGGATGAGGGACGAGAGAGAGAGCACGGTTAATGCTGCGGAAAGTCTGCTATCACTTAAAATGTAACTCACACGCAAGTCATTGCACCAACCTGTTTGGAGGATAAGTTGGGCATCACCAAAATTAATGGCCAAAATGTGGCGGGCAAAACCGCTGGGAACCAGGGGGTGCTGCGTCCCTGTATCGAAAGGGAGAAGGTGCCCGAAGTGCTCCTGCCAGCGCTCGACTTAAGCTGTGTTTTCAGCAGTAAGTTTAATTCAATTTTTTGAACGTTTGATTGATTTTTCCATCGAACTTTTTAGGGTTCCTAAACTGTAAGCTTTACACAAACGATACATGACAAACCATACCGATAACACAGATACTACCTTAAAGTCCAGACACGGGTTTAACCAGCATTCTGCTGCTTCTTGAGTAGCCTACGCAATGTTCAGCTGGGCCAGCGCTCGACTTTTGCCGAATTATCAGCAATAATGCCTCCATTCAAATCGCGAACAGAGTCACTCAGTGCAAAGGGCTTGTAGTGACCCTATTCCGCAAAAACGCTTGCCTCTCGCGGCGAATGGCAAGCGCGCAAGCACCAGCGCCTGCCTACCCCAATCCGGTTTGGCCAATCACTATCCACACTGACTCAAACATAACCACACTGTGATGACTGTCACGCTCAAACACTTCGTACGCCGGCTCCCTTGCAGGTGGTTGTGCACTCGTCCGACTGTTAACTTACTCCAACGTATTCTCCAGTGCCTCTGTACAGAATACACTTTTTATCCCATTTGGCGTCTAACTTCTTTTCTTAGCCTACGGAACCGGGTCTGAAGATGGCAGCAGCAAGGATGTTCTCTATTAACTTAAGTCTCTGCCAGAAGCTTGCCACTACCTTAGCGGATAGTGTGGAAGTTTTTGAGAGTCCTCAACGTTTGAGGCCTGCTCTGCGGTAGTTGCTATTTAAAACCCATATTTACCCAGGTCATCTCTAGCCGACAACGCCGTCATCTTCTGATATTGGCGGAAGGAATATTCTTAAGAGAACATGGTTAGTGCCATCTGAGCAGACAAATGTAGCGTTCTTCCTGCTTATCCAGTCACTGCGGCATT